TAAAAAGGCCAATATAACCCTGGCTACAAAAAGATTGCATATCCAGTCCCAATCCAGCTTAGTTTTCATTGTCAGCCAGGTGCTGTCACCTTAAAATATACCCTATAAATAATTGATGATCAGTACAGATTTTAACATAGGCCTTAGTATTGTACAGTTGCACCTCTTCCTGGTAGCCTCATGTAGGGCACATTGCAATAGTCATATTTGTTCTTGGTTTGTCTTGACTACTTTATTTCAGGACCCTGGAATACTTAAGCAAGCACCTGGCACTTCTGGCATCCTTCAGCAGCATGACCAACATGCATACCAGGAACCTGGCTTTAGTGTGGGCACCTAATCTACTTAGGTATGATAAATGAACCTACTGTTTTGCTTCATCCTAAAGGCAATATTGAGACCATTAATGGAAATGTATAGGAATTGTATACGAAGGCACTTTCTGGACAAATCCAGCTGTGGGGAAAAGCATACAATCACATTTTGATGAGGGAGGTGAATCTGAGCATTTCCTTGTTCTCTTGTTTTCCCATTTTCATGGCCCTAAAAGCTGGTGAGGGCCATGAAAATATATATAGGTAACATATAATTAAGGTAACCATATTTTCTTGGAAAAAGTAAAGGACAAACTTGAAAAAGGGGCAAATCTGAAAGAGATTCCTAAAGATAAAAAAAATTAATTGCTTTACAAAGGAAAATTCAAGAGCAAAATAAAAACAGTACAAAAATGCATATTTTAATAAAATCCCTAAAATCAAGCAGCATATGTAAATTTATTTTAAAAAGGCAATTCAATTTCCATATTTTTCACATGAACGCGAAAGAGTTTATGTTAAGTGGTACCATTTGTATGGTAAAAGTTAAGTGACCAAAATAAAGGACGAAAATTAGTTTTTGAAAAATAAATAAATTTAAAGGACAGCTTTCTGAAATAAAAGATGTTTGGTCACTGCACATATAATATTAAACATACACTTAGTGTCATGTTCATGAGATATAATTTTTTCCTATCGAGATGTAAGGAGGTGAAAACTCTTTCAGTTTTTAACTAACTACAGTGTTATAGTGTACACATTCGCTTCTATTGGTAACTACAATGTTTTATTTAATTTGAACCAGGACCAATGGCCTTTTTAAAGTTATAGTTTTAAGAGACCAGAAGGAGAAACTGGGGTTTGAAGTCTGGTGATCTGGTCAAATAGGCCATGGCTGGAGAAGGGAACCAAGCCCCTTTTTTGAGCTTTTCTCAAAATTTGGTAAAACAATTGCTGAAAATTGGTGTAGTTCCACAGTATTTTGCAGTGGGACATGAAAATGGTATTGTAACTCCTAAAATAGGCTTTGTACAGTTTAAAAAACAAAGTCTCAGACACATCCCCTCCAAATTAGGAAAGGAACTACAAAATCCCAACTCTTTTTGTGTGTTTGTTGTAACCATGCCCATTTGTCAGATGCATCGGGTGTCCTCATCACAAGCTACAGGAGGGGATATACACATACACACACACTCACTGCTATGCTGTAGTTCCTAGTATTAGTTATAGCAATAATTCATGAAGAGTACTGGGCAAATCTGACACAGTATTTCTCTGTGCAAATTGAAATGAATTTGATTATGGAAGTACTATTGCACAGATCCACTTGTTTCAAGTAGTTTGGAAGCATAAGGTTCTTAGTAGAATTATCCATTGTGTGTATGTGACAATAACGTGTGAACTACTACTAAAAATGAGTCTGTCCAGGGATACCAGTCTGGTCAGCAAGATGCCTAAGGTTAGACCCTCAGAAAATACAAGGTAAAACATGTCCCTATCTTTGCACTGGATTATTGAACTGCTCTAAACCTTAATTCTGTCTCCTGCACAGTCCATCTACTTTTTTTGTGGTAGAAGTTTCACTTCTTTTCTAAATCTGGATCCCAAGGAGACATGAAAAGTAGTTGTACCTCCCTTACAAGGCTATCCTGTTGATGGAATCCCTTCTGAGTTTTATCTAGCACTCCAGCCATTAGCTTTACAAAGGATTGTATTGCCCAGAGATAATTTCTTCAGTAACACTTTGGCATGTCAAGATAAGAAAGAATTTATCTGCTTCTGCTTTTTGGGTAGGTGGGTGAAGTTGGAGCTGGAAGGAGAGATTATTTGGACCAAACCATTGATGTGATGAGAAACACAAAGCAGACTTTTTTTTTAAAGCACAAACTCACAAAATTCATCAAGTTGAATTGTGATGTTCTTTTCTGATGTTTTCCCCTCCTTTCCCACTTGATGTTTTGAAGTGATGGTTCTACTCAGAGATAAGTTTAAATCCTGTGGATCAGCTTGAGTTGCAGCAGCTCCAGCTGTAAGTAGAATTGCTACATTGATGCTCGGAATGTTGTCTAGAAAGTGGAACTCCTGGCTCATCTGCCCCTTGGCAAGGGTTGTTAAGTTCTGTTGTGGTAGGTAGGTAGAGTTCTGGAGTTCCTGGGGCATCCACACATTGCATCTATAATAATCTGCTGCATTAGAGGGAGGCTTCCTGTAAAACTAGATCTTGTGTTCACGTTAAAGTGCTTGCTATGCACTTTAAGGCTCTTGTCTTCGCTCATTGCTGTATAGAAATGGGACTTAAATTTCTGCCACTAGGCAGCAGCTTTAAGGTAGTGCAGCTCAGATAAGCATTTCATCAGAATGTTCTTTGAAGTAATCTGAAACAATCCTTGCTTGGGTATGCTGTTTATTTTTGCTGACATAATGTTGTTGGCTGAGATATGTTTCATGTTTGATTATGTCTTGTGCTATTCTATTTGTCTGGTCTGCTGTAAAACAATGGTACACTGTTGATTTATAACATTGCATCTTATCCTTCTTTTAGGAAGCTGAATATGACAACCAAGCATTTCCCTCCTCCACCCATTTTATCCCACTCAACAATACTGGATGCTTGTGCTTTAGTTTGGCCAGCTTTTAAAAAATGCTAACAGGATCAGCTGGAGTGAGGGGCCTGACGAGACAGAAAGTGCTGATTCCATAACTGGCATTTGCTTGATAAGGAAAGCAGCCATAGTGATCATTATCACTGACACCCCCACACCCCACTCCGGCTGATGTTGTTTGCCCTTTTAAGAAATGCCTTCACATTGGATATGATGTTAAATATCTTTCATCCTGAGAAATCTTTGCTAGCATAAGAATATATGCAGTGGGCTTCTTTTTGAAGAGAGATTTAACATGGAGCTCCTTGTTCCTAATTTGATATCTAACCATTGCACCATATTGGCTGTCTTTTAATTATCCTCCTAGGTGTAAGGAATTGGGGAGGTTGAAGGCTAGCACATCTTAAGGATACTATTTAGGGGAAGGATTATTAAAATTTCCATTACAAAGTTTGATAAAAGGCAGTGAAATCAATTGGAGTTTTTGTCACATTCTTTCAACCCCTGACTTAATGAGGTCTAGGGAAGGAGCTTGTTATATTGTGCTTCATCTTTGTCTGCAATATTTGTTGGTCTTCCTTTTATAAAGGCTTGCCAAAGACATTTTGCTAATTGAGCAAATCTCTGCACTAATCCATGTACAAAAAACCAATCTGGATAATTGAATCTGTTTAATGGGATGACTATTCCTGAGATTTCTTTTAGCTTACACTAGGATTGTTCTGGGATACATGTACCATTCATGAAACAGTTTTTCTTCTCAGCCATGATCCATTATCCAGCCTTTTGATTCCTCCCTTGCTGTCCTTCTAAAATCTATGTTTTGACTCTACCGTGTTGATTATTTTCACTTGTTTCACCCAAAAGAAGTGATAAAGAACTATGAGCTGAATACAGCCTGTGGAAGTTCCCTTTTAAGATTTTCTCCCGGGTTCAGACTCTTCTTTCTAGGCCAGGAAAAGGGGAAAATGCTCAATGAAAGACATATCGCAGTGTTTAAAGACTGCCTGCAGACTTCTGCTGCATTTTTGAAGAGTTCACTGCTCTCCAAGGCTTTGATTGATGTCTGTAAGGGTTGTCCCCTCTGTGCAGCACTTAAGCTCTAAAGCAGACTTTATCGACTCTAGCAGAGTATATCTTAAAATCTAATTGCTCTGGTTTTTGAGCAGGGAGAAGAATTTGGGAGTCTAAATCTGTGAACAGTGTATGAGTGAACAGAGGATACACGAGTGTGGTTCTAGGCCCAAACTATTTCTTTGCTTTATATTAGCTCTGTTAATTTGGGTCTATGGCTGCACCCACTCTGGCATGCAATCCCCAAAACATTTGTCTGGAGCCCATTTGAAACTGATTGTCTACCTTGACTTGCAGCATTTTGAAAGTGAGTAGTGCAGGTTCTTGTGATTGGCTTCATTTTGCTACCCAACAATATGATGGTATTGATGAAAATAGAAAGGTTCTTTGGACTAAAGGGATTAACTTCAGCCTCTATCTTTCTATAAACAAACTATGGTATGGCAACCTTGTTTTTATTTTAAATCTTTCATAGAGATCATGCTGTTTAAGATGTACCACATATAACTCAATGTATGTAATGTGTATATTTGGATTTGTATATGTATATAGTATAAGGAGAACAAGGTAATCAAAGGAATGGAAAACAAAAAGGCTTACAGTTAGATTGTGGATAAAATCTCTGCTGCTGTAACATAGTACTTTTGTTAGAAAGTTACAGACATGGCATTTTAGGAAGTTTAATTTTCTTGTTCATAAGCAGTGCCTTGGTGGTGTGATATTTCATTGTTCTTCCAACTGCTTCCCTGACTGTGGCTTAGGTCAAAGGAGATTGAGGCAGTGGGCTGCAATGGAGATGCAGCTTTTTTGGAAGTGCGAGTCCAACAGTTGGTGATAGAGTTTATATTGAACCATGTGGATGAGATCTTCAGTGACGACGTTTGTGTCAGGCCAAAGGAGAATGAAGGTAAGTCCTTCTCAACTATTTTCTGTATTTTGACTACATCTGCAGTGACCATTTCCAAATCCACCTGAACTCTTTTGGCCAATAAGCTTAGTTCTTCCCAGCACATAACCTATTTATATTGCTTTTCATTATTTAGGTCTCATGAAGTACTCATCCAGTGCACCTGAATCCCAATACTATTAAAAAAATAAAATAGAAGAAGGAAATGAAGCACATGAATATTTTTAAAAGTAGAATGTTTTGATATGACTAATCTAATATGAAGCCTGACTAATAGTGGACAAAAGTCTCCCATCTCAATTTGTAATTGATTTTGTCCTTTAAGACTTTTTTGAATTGCTTTCAGAACCATTAGTAAGCTTGGGAAGATCCAGCCTTTACAAGTCCCTCAATTTTTGCACAAAAGGAATAAAGAGCTAAAATCTTCAGAGTTTACATTGGGAAAAAAGTTCCAAATATTCTGGTTCATTGAAGATTGAACCATGGGGATTTAGGAAGAAGCCTCAGCTTTCATTATTCTCTTTTGTTGCTCATCCCTTTTGACCTTGCAACCTGGTTGCTTGGGAAAGCAAAAAGGGACCATGGAAAAGAGAAATCAACTGCAGGGAGAACTTGACTTGTGATTTCAGAACTTTGGCTCATCATTGACCCAGTTCATGTTGTTACAGTAACTCATCACCAAAAAAATGTATAGGAAGAGTCATGAGAGTATAGGAAGAGTCACTAAGTTAAATGTTTACCAACTATCGTAAATAGGCATTTTGATGGGCTGGTGGACACATTCAAATGTTGAGAGAATATTGCTGTCACTAATTAACTGCCATGCAGAGTTTGTCCATCCAATGGTAAGGTTGGGTATGGTCAGGCATAAAGTTTCCATTTAACAAAAGACAATAAAACTGGTGAGGTTGCCCTTACATCACTAGTGTCTCAAATATTCTCTGATCCCCGATTACCTTGGTCTTGTTCCTGAGCCAGTGGACATACTTCCAAACAAAGCACTGAATTACAATCTCCACATTAATTTTCGCTAAGAATATTGTGAGGACCAGAAACCTTCCTGGGGAAAAGAAATGATACTAGCAGCTGCCACCTTGATTTTCACTTTGTTGGTTTCCAGTATATCAAGTTTTGGATTAAAAGAGTATTTTTTAGGAAAAAAATGAAGTGAAGTATGGCAGGGAGTGTATCTTGTGCTAAGAAAGTTGTCTCAAACACATTACTATCCATGGATGTTATGTTATCTGTCCTTGTGCTAACTTGTTAACTAGAGCAGCCATCAAGCTGAAAAATCAGTTTAGAAGTAGATCTGCCCCATAACAATCTTAAAAAAGAAGAAGGTGTAAATAGTATGGGCTCATATGTTCCAGCTGCCATGTGGACAGGATGCTTTAAATTGTTCCTTTCTGGCAGCTGTTAATGGCAAAACATTCAGGTTAAGGGGGTTGTTTTCACCACATATCATGAGTAGTACCAAATAAAAGTTGCAGAGGTATTAGAAGACTTTCCCAGTCTCTCTTATAAACTGGTCCACATGAATATAACATGATAGAGGCTTTCAGAAGACACAATTTAAATGGTTTCTTTATAATAGTAATAACAAGATCCAAATATTATTTTAAATTAAATGAAATCATAAGATTTTTTCCTATCCATTCAGTTTTATTGTGTTTCACTTCGGTTTTATCTGGGTTTGCCTCCATTTTACTATAAAGGGTGTTTGGGAGTGAGCTTTCTTTGCCATGGCTTTTCTAGTATATCAATTAATAACACTGTTAATTACAAGAAATCCCAAAGTGCTAATATTGAAGCTGGGAAAGCTGTCTTTAACCATCAGGACTTTTGTTTTTTGAGTTCCAGGGTTGTAAGTTCCTACTTCCTGCTAACAATTGCAGTCCGTGTGGAATAAGAAAAGCAAAACAGTTTTCGGAACAAATTTCCCAAAATAATCTGGATGGGAGAGAAGAGTTGCTTCACCTTAAAAACTAGAAAAAGAGCTTAGTTTTCCCAAAGTTCAGCACAAATAACGACCCTCATGTTGAGAAGATGCATGCCAGAGCACTTTGGACTATGGCTGATGACCAAGGCACTGTTGGGGTGGAGGGCAGGGTGCTAGATTGAATTACTGGGAAAGAAGTGAATTTGTCCAAGAAGCACATTTGCAAACATTAATTTCACTGGGAAGGTTAATTCATTAAAGACCATGCTTGAGAGATCTATTGATGCCTTTCCATTTCTCTCTGCCATTCCCATCTTCCATCCCAAATTAGGCTAAGTTCTAATGTCTCCTCCTCCTGTTTTCCAGAGAATAAACCCGTGATGAAGAGCCTAACTCTGCCTTCCACCTCTCTGCCAATGAAGCTGGTGAGCTTGGAAGAAGCTCAGGCCCGAAGCCTCTCAGCCTGTCACCCTGCCCGCAAAGAACGAAGGGAGAACAGTTTGCCAGAAATTGTGCCAGTCACAGGCTCCTTTTTCCATACTGTCCTTGACCTACCAGACAGCAAGTAAGTGGTCCTTTTTTTTAGTATCTGAAAACTGAACACAAAAGGCAAATGAAAGAACATAGCATCCAAGGGTCTACCATTGTCTAACCCTGCTTCTTTGGTGCTCCAATGCATGTGGTTAGGTGCAATTGGTGTGGAGCCAATTTCACACCAACTATAATGGTGCGCAGCCAAGCACTATGAGAGAAACACTGTTTCTGCCCCACTCCATCACCCATTGATATCTTCCATTAATAAGCTTAGTGCAGTTTTGAGAGAAGGAACCATATTCCCCAGCACAGTATAGATACATCAGAACTTGGAATATGCGCTAAAAATATATAGACTTTCCCCCCTAATCCCTCAACATTGCTGTGAGAAGGATAATATCAAAGCCTGGTCAGTGTCAGTACCTCCAGTATCAGGCAGACAGATGGATATAGGATTAGCTTTTCTGCTTGGCTTCATTTCAAATGTTTGATCAAGAGGAGTGGAATTCAAAGACTTGAGGCACCTGTGATGAGACAGCCACCTACTGGTAACCTACTCCAATTGCACATGCAATGTCTATTTGAATCTTCATTCTTTATAATTGGGCTTATTTGTGTAGCATAGCTGATAAGTCTATATTTTACTCTTGTGCACAGTTCAGATACTATTGCAAGATGGCAAAAGAAGTTATGTGAGACTTATGCTATCCAGCCCCAATGGAATTGTCATCAGTGCTTTCTAGTTACTTAAATTTCTGTTGGCATACGGCATTTGACCATATTGCTATAACATGAATTATAGTCTGCACAGCCACATCTTTATAAAAGCAATAAACTTCTGAATCTCATGAAGCATTAGCACGACTGGCAGACTGTACTGAACTTTAGAGGCCTGAGATCAAATGTTATTTTACCCATAAATTCACTGGGTGGAGTTGGCCAGTCATGAAGGGCCATTTCCCGCATTATATATAATATCAACATATATCATTAATGGTGTCAGGGAAAGAAGTCATTTTCTGGGTCAAACTATCTTGCCTCTTGGCTGCTCTGATGGCAGGAACCTTCTATGTTTCAAACAAAAGTCTTCGCACCATCTGCCACCTGATCTTTTTTTAGCTGGAGATGGCAAGCCTGTTGAAAAGCAGTAAAATAAAATCTGAGAGGAAATGAAGGCAAATAAAAGTGACACATTAAACATTTATTAATCTTACTGTTAAGCATTGCTACTCATTTACTGATCTCTGATTTTATCTTTCAGGAGAAAATTATCCACGAAGTCCAAGAAATGGAAGTCCATTTTTAATCTGGGCCGGTCAGGTTCAGAAGCTAAGACTAAATTGAGCCGCAATGGGAGTGTGTTTGTTCGAGGACAGAAGATCTCTGGTAAAGACTCTCTATGGCCTTCATTAATGTAGCTTATCTTTTCCTCCTTAGCTTGCCCTTGCCCAGCAGAAAAACGTTCTAGCACTTTGCAAAAGATCATTCATGCTAATAAAGTTACAAGGATTAAAAGCCAGTATGAATGATGCTCGACAAGAGCATGGGGGAGATTGCATATTTAACCTCTTGCATCATACCAAGTATCAGTTCAGTAGGACAATGAAAGGCAGTCATAGTCCAAAGCCTATGAAATTCTTGTTGTGAATACTGTCTATTATTTTATTGTGTTGAACATGCATTTCTGAATTTACTGAATGCATGTGCAGGCAGAGGTCAAACGTGTGTCTGCTCAAGCTGTTACTAAGAATATGCCTATACCAGTCATTTTACTAAGGAGTCCCAGAACATGTGTCCACCTCATCTTGTCTGGTGTTTCTGATTAGAGTTCTTATGAGATAATCAGTATCTCATTAAAGAGATGTACTGGCTCCCCTCCAACAGTCCTTGCAGTACAAAGAAGATGCTATCACTATACATAGCTTTCAATTCTTGAAAGAAATATATTTATTAGCAGTTTCAGATAAGTATCTCACATGAAGGACAGGTGTCCAAACAGTTGTCACAATAAGAAAGGATGAGGAAAATAATCCAGCCTTGATTAACAGCCTAACACTGTTCCTAGGAAGAAGATGGCGGGCTCCTTGAATAAGAACAATGCACAATTATGGCTGTTTATGAATAAGCAGCTTAGGAAATCCTTGCAAAAATCATATCTCCATTTTGACAGATAAACATATTGAACAAAACCTGGCTTTTTTCATTGAGCTAAAAAAAAGTTAAGAAAGGCACTGCACCGCACTAATCTTGTACCTTGTTAGTTGGCGAGCCTTAGCTTTAACCATAGATTAAAGCTAGAGCTGTATGTATTCTCAGGATATTGAATAATTTTCTGCTTTGCAGCTGCACTTGTTAACAATTTTCATTTCCAACTGCAGTGTGTGGTTATATTTTAAACATGTTACATCCTTCCTTTCTACAGAAAAAGCAACCATTCGACCAGCTAAAAGCATGGACTCGCTGTGTTCACTTCCAGTAGAAGGTAAGGCTTGGTCAGTGTATATCAAATGCGGAGGAGTCAAGATCTGCTGATTCATTTGGGCATTTTTAGTAGCAGAAGCTGAATTTGTGTGGTTTTGATGGACATACTGTATATCTGTTTATATTAATCTGTTTATTTATTCAGAAAGTTTTGCAGACTTTATTGCATGCACATGCAGTCCTGTTCATAGAATCAGCAGGTTGGAAACCCACCAAAAAGTACTCAGTCCCCACTTGCCTTTCCCCATCATCTTCTTTTCCTTGATGAATTCATAGTTCAAGAAAAATAGTCAAGACTTTTACTATTGTTTAAGCAAAATTTCAGTTCCTTGAATAGGAGGAGTTCCTGTAAGGATACTCTGCTCAAAGCTTTATGCAGTCTGGGAGATCTGTAAATGTTATGAGCAACTTTCCAGTTTGTGTGGTAGCATCTTGCCAAGGCCATTTTCTTTGTGGAATTTATGAGATGAATAAGAATGAACTCTCCACAGTAACCCATGCTCTGGCAATCTCCTAGATTTCTGAGGTACACTCTGTCTGGAGCTGCTGTTGAAGATGGTTCAGAGTTTGCAATCTGTGCCAGAAGTAGTTACAAAATTGTAGACTACAGTAGTTCATTAGTGCAAGGCTACTTAATGTAAGTTCTTAAAGAGCTGCACAAGTCAGCTGTATCTGATCAAACCTAATTCAGAGGATTAATTTTAATATATAAAGCTGCAAATGGTTTAGGATTTGGTTACTTCTAGGAGTGCCTCTCCCTTTATTTTCATTCCTATAACATTAAATATCTTCTCAGAGAAGCCTTTTTTGGGGGTCATCCAATTACTAGAGGAAGACTGGATTCATAGGAGTGCCAACCACAACTGTAGAATATATTTTCCCTTAGAGATTAGATTGTTGCCAGTGCTGAGATTAGTTTTGGGTCTTGAATGAAGGAATCCTTTTCCACCAAGCTTTTTGATTGTTTTTTAATTAAAAATTGGGCCAGTATCAAAATACGCTGGTTGATCACTGATCGCTGATACTGGGTTTATTTTGATCACCATGGGAACATTTTTACAGTGAAAGGCTGGTTATCAGAAATTATATTTAAAAGTTATAATTATATCAAAATTATGCATTTATGCCATACAATCTAGAGAAAAACCCTATTGTTGTTATTACTACTTCACAAACATGTCTTGTGGCAAGATGTTGCTTTACTTATATCAAGAAATATCTTCTTAAGATATTGCCCTCAATACTGCAGCCTATGGGGGTAGGAGAGAAGGGGAATAGTGGGAGAGGGTTTTTTTTTCATATTTCTGGGGGGAAATCCACATTAACAGATTCAGAGATGGAGGGGGAGAGAGAGAATGGGGATATTGCAAATATGGATCCAGAAAAAGGAAGAGAGGAAAAATATATATATTCCTCTCATTTTCTTCCCTGTTTCACTCCCCCACACCAAGCTTTATATTTACATTCATCCTGTCCATCCTTTAAAATAATTTTATGGTAACTGTCTTTGTTTACTCCACATTCTGCTCAGCTGCTCCTCTCAGCCTGGAAAAAAAGATAGAGTTGAGAAGGAAGTGGAAAATAATCCCCTTCCCCCAAGTTTCTCTTTTAATAAATATACTTTTCCCTATCTCAATTTCCAAATGGATAGTAGCTAGAATCCATGATTGGGATACAGAATACAGATTTGCAGGTACAAAGGCAGGTCATGGTGAGTGCTTTTGAATTATGATTGTCATGGGGGAGAGCTTAGAAATAAATGCAGCCAGTGGTCTAACAGGAAATGGAATATTCTCTAGCAAGTATTGTGCAAGGAAAAAGCTCTCTTTAAGTCAGCTTGAATTGCCCCTACTCTCAACAGAACATTTACCATAGGATTATAGCATAGATGGAGTGGGACAAGGGATAAACCATGCATCATAATTTTACAACACAAAGCTTGTCACTTTTGTACTTGTGTTTGACATCTTGATGCAAGTATGAAAGGCCAGAGTTTGCATCATGATGTTGCAACACACTTCTCATCATTTTTTCATCACTGTGGTTTGTCCCAGGTGCCTATGCATAGGGTGTCCTGAAAGTTGGAATTTGCTGGACCAGTATAAAGATGGGACAGACTTTTGAAGGGAATATTAATCTCTCTCTGTGCTCTTGAAATACCCTGAAGAGCCTTATCTAGCCAAGAGTTCAAACAAACCTAGGATGAATAACCCATGGCATGCGGTCCTCAGATAATCTCTAGGTCCCCATTTTGTGCCCAAGATTGTCCATGTTCTATGATACCAATTCTGCTCCAAATGAGCACAATAGTTGTGTCAATCTACCATTCATTTTCTCTTTTAAAGCCCCTTTAGATTCTTCTTTCTCCTCTCCCCAAATCCGAGTGAGTCACTGCATCACCAGACATATGTCTATGGCCCTTGAAGACTAAAACAAAACCCCTCAACAGTTTAATAAACAATGTACAGCTCAGGCCAGAAAAAAGTTGCCCATCTATGAGAGCAGATTGGCAACATTCAGCTTTGCTTTCTTTCTTCCTTCCTTAGGAGATGATGAAAAAGGTCATTTCAAGCGCACAATCATGGCTGGAGGGTTTTTTGTTCCAGTGATGAAACCACGAGTGGGAGGACCTAGCAGCTCATTTGACCTCAGCAAACAGGACACGGAGTGGGATCTCAAAGGTGCCATGAAAGGAGCAGAGGGAGGAGTAGAGGACAATGGAGAGAATGATATTCCACGGCCAACTGAAACGAAACCACTTCCTGAGCAACTGAAGGTATTCCGGGCCATTGAAGACCCCGAGAATGAGCAGACTTCCCCAAAGACATGCCGTATGTTCTATACTTCAAATGATGGGATGTCCAAATTGGGATTCCATGGGACTCTATTCCCCCTGGAAGCATCCCCCCGACACCAACATAAAGCCTTGAACATCTCAGAGCCCTTTGCTGTCTCAGTGCCCCTTCGAGTATCTGCAGTCATCAGTATCAACAGTACACCTTGTCGCTTGCCTGTTAAAGACAAGGCGATCTTCTCTGGCCTTCAAGAATCTTCTTTTCTGGGAAAAGAAAGTGCTATCTCCTCAGTCCCTGAAGGTGACAGCCATGACCAATTAGAGCATATCACAGTCAAGGAAGAAAAGAAGGCTGAGTCCAAATCCATAACAGGTAAGCTTAGAATAGGGATGGGTAATGCTCTAGAGGATGTTGAACAGCTTGTCTCAAACCATGGCAAATGGTCAAGATTATGAGAGTTGCAGCCCAACAACATTTGGAAGCTGTTGTCTACCATGACTTAGAAAAGGCTGTAGTAATCTGTTTACAAAAGGGACCCCCAATGTGGGCGATAGAGACATATCTGAAATATTGACAGCATGTCATGGATATCCTTGCAAAATATTTGCCATGTGTGGGATTGGTTTTTCATAACGTTGCTCTCTTGGTGGGGGCATAAGCAGTTGCAAAGTGCTAGTTTACCTGAATAGTTATTTCTCTCTCTCTCTCTATCCATCCATTCCTTTTTTTTTCTTTTTTCTTTTGGCCAGTGAAGAATGAAAATCTAGATATATTACAGTGATTAAAATAAAATTGACAAAAGAAAAGAAAAACCAATTAACAGGAAAAGCAATCCTTATCATAATTATCAATAGCAATCCAAAATTGATTTAATCCTTCAAGCTTGTTGTTAAATCTAGACCATATAGCAACATATTGTGTCACCTTCTAATTTTTAGAATACAGAGACTTTTCAAAAATAGATATCAAACTTGTATCCTGGCTCCATTCTTTAAAATCAGGAAAAATCTTTCTTTTTCCAGTTACATAAAATTGTTAAAAATGTCATGTGGATCAGGGTGCCTGTTGGGACATATGGGTGACTTTGTATTGGGTATCCCAGGCTCTGAGGACGTTATAAAGAACTGGCTTGCAGTGATACAGTTGGAGTGATCTCTTTACAAAGAGAATCTCAATGGTCTGCTGAAATCAATTGCCAAAGAAGTTATTACATGCACTGGGAAGAAATGAAGACAGAAGCAAGTTTTTGAAAGGACAAGCTGAGGCAGAAAAGCATCAGACAAGGAATGGGTTAAGTTTCCCCAATTGCTTTCCTCTCTGAATCTGTTTTAATTAAAAAAATAAAACATAAAAAATCATAGTACAATATTTTATATGCCTATGACCAACACCTAGATTTGCTCTTAAATCAGATTACTGTAACATCCTCAATATCTGAAGCAGATGCTGGCAACACAGTGTCCAAGAGTGCCAGGGCATCTATTACATTCTAAAATTTCTATAAATGTTCCCCAAATAATATTTTAAATAATTAAATGGCCAAGGTTTTCAGAGATTCTGGTGTTCTCATTGAGACCTCAGTAAATTCTAGACTTCTTGTTAAAATCTCACAAGAACTCATTGTAAGACTGCAAAGCTAATGATCTGATGAAAATTTACACATTAAAAATATGTAGGTCACCACTCAAGATCTTATGGTAGCCCATATAGTTTGAAACTGTTAAAAACTCCACTCACTGCATTGTAGAGATGCTGGGATATTAAGGATCATGACTCCATGACAGAGCACATACTTTATATATGGAAAAGTATCCAGGTTCAATATGTGCAATTTCCAGGTAGGGATGGCAAAGATTGTGAATTTTTCAAGTGACACTTCATTTAGTGTAAAAAATATTGGAGAAGGAATAATCATTTGGCAAAATGTAGTTAGTTTCATGTATCTGCAGAGATCAGATTGGGGGGCATATTAGTATATAGAGAAGAAACCATGCCTTATTACATATAGTTACACTGCCAGGCACACTTACAGGGAACTGTTCAACTCACAGTCATGGTTGACCCCAAATTATCTGTCCTTATAGATAAAGTCAAATTGAGAAGTGCATAAATCCAGGGACAAAATAAAGATGGCTTACGTTCATATGTAGGATAGAAAATCATTTTCATTTTGAAAACCAGACATCCGTTTGTAGACTTCCTTTCCATGCTGTTTTTCTTTCTCTTCGCTTGTCCAAAGGAAAAGCACGTTAAGCATAAATTTTACTTTATGCAACAGATGTGAACATTTCCATTGGTTGTTCTATGCAGATTCATCTGAAGAAAGCTGTCTAATTAATTCTCTAAATTCCATAAATGCATGGACATTTATTGTTGGAGACACAGTTGAATATTGCCCCAGATGGAGTGTATATAATCTTATTGAAATTATGGTTAACTCTGTGTTGGATTGTGGCTAGACACTTCCACAGATCCATGAGAAACTTGAGGCTGTAACAATCTGTGTCTCCACAAGGTGGTTCATTACTTATTGTCACATGAGTCTTTAATCAACCTCTTGAAAGACTTTAACCACAGCTGATTTGGCTATCATAAAGAGGCCCTTTGATCTGTGAAGATTAAACACATCCATCCATTACAGTTTAGTAGGACTTCTATCTATGGGCTGCAAAAATCTGAAATTACACTAGCAGGCAACAAAGGGAGCTTTCTGTAGCTTTCAGCCCATATATGGTTGCCCAAGGGTTTAAAGCTACCATTTCCAATATGGTGCCCTCCAGATAACATTGGAACTATCATCATATCCAGACAGCATCATATTGAGGATGGTTGATTTAGAATAAGTTGACCTTTTAATCTATACTGTTTCTTGGTTTTGTTTTGATTGTTCTTTTTTTTTTTTCCTCTTGTAAGATTTGTATATCTCCTTTTTATTTTTGATATAGATTCTACTATTGAGGAAATAGCCATTGTTAAGAAGCTGGAATCTGTAAGTATCCCTCAACCAACAATCAACACTCAGGAGACAAAGAGTGGTGGCAACAACACTAGCCAACCTTTAAAAGATAAGCTCCCCCTGGAACAGAACCCCCTACTTATGATCCCTGCAAGCCAGCAGCAGACAGATAAAGCAAGTCAAGACCAGCTTGGGATTAAGAACATGCCAGAACAAATTTGCTGGCCACAGAAGGTGTCAGTAGATAAAGTAGAAGATAATTCACACCTAAAGGAGTTGGTAAGAAAAAGTATTGAAAATCTCCTTTTTGGATGTTGTGTTGTTTGACCATTTAACTATTTTGTGAAAAAGACACCAACTATTCTTTCCTCTACCAACTACCATTGTTGATACAGCCTTTGACACTGAACGTTTTCACACAGTGTGTTTCAGATTTGAACATATCCCAAACTGAATCAGGATGATTTGGACATAGTCAATAAATATGTAAATCAAACCAGAATTTGCCCAAAGCAGATTAATTTGCCTCTGAACTGTCTCTGGCTTTCACTAATGATTGAGAGTTTTATAGGTACTCAAAGACACTGCAATGTCTAAGAATCGATCTAAAGACAATCTGAAAACTCTATTTCCACAAAAAACAATCCTGCTATTCAGAAATTTTTCAGGTTACACAGTTAGGGACACTTCTGTCCCACCTGTAATTTTCTTAACATTTGTCAATTAAAACATAGAAATGTGTTGATCTGACTTTTATATAAGAAAGGTAAATAAAAATTCTGCAAATGTCATCCAGTTCTACAAATAAATACATTAGTCATGAGAATGTCCTCCCTAACATTTTTTTTTGTTTTTTTTTACAAAAACCAAAAAAATCTCTGCACCTTTTTAAAAAATTAAACTGCCTTCATCTCCTAATAAACTACAACTTCAAAGAATTTTCATCCAATTAATTGAACAGAAAAAACCCCCCACAGCTGTTTGTTGATTTTTAGTGATAACCAGTAGGGGATTCAAATTTCCAGATCTCAAATTGGATTCAGTCCCCAAGAAGAACTGGGAGTTCTAAATGAATGAAAACCATTTGGAAAAAAAATTCTGAACTTATCACTTACTAATAAATCCCAGTCTTGCTTCCTTTGAGTCAAAAAGCTCCATAGGCCTTTCCTTTTCCTCTTCTCTTTTGGCCAGAAATGTAGCCGTAGCTGAATGTTAAAGTCAGATAATGCTGATCCCAAGTCTCTGGATGGAAAAATTCCTGGGAATCACATTAATGCCACTTTGAGGACCATAATGAAAATGATGGTTGTGATCCCAAGTTTTATGTTCCCTGCAAATAAATTTATCACTACTAAGCAACCAATTCATACTACTTTCTCTGAGTTGGATTTCCTTTGGGCATCTTTTCAAGATTATTTGGAAACTTCAGTTAGATTAAAATAGAGCTGCAACACTGGACTAACTAATATGAACCCTTGATGCCATTGCACTGACTGCTAGTTCATTTCCAGGCTTAAATCAAGGCTGCTGAGCTGATTTTTAAACCATTGCATGTCTTGAAAACAAAGTATCTCAAAGGATGTATTTGCCCAGATGGTTATGTCATCTTTGGAGTTCCTCCTCATCCAGGAGTCTTGCCAAGATGAGTGAGCCTGGTTAGCTACAAAGGAGAGGCCTTGTTTCTCTCCAAGGAGGCACATCTGACCCTCCCCTTAATTTACTGTCAAGGTCAAAACCTTCTTTTTATGAATCTTGTAAAAATATCTTTAATGGTAAGTGCTTGCATTGAGCTTGGCATAGTTGCTGTTAGATGTTTCGCAATATCTCTCCAGTGCTACTTATTAATTGTACTCTTACTG